CTTCTGGTTTCCGGGCCTCAGGCATAAACTATAGCTGCCTGCGATGCATAGCTCTCGGAAACGCACTGCTGACACACTGCTCCTGCCTGAGGAAGTAGCCTGACTGCACGTGCGAGCTGAGCGATGGGGTACACAAAGGCTGGGGGGAGATCGTGCTTGTGCCTCGATGACCATCAGCCATGAACACGAAGGTGACCCTTGCGCTAGGGCCTTCGCCGGATGTGCTGACATTCTGCGGAGTGGTTTGCTTGGCCGGAGGCGTGCCGGTGAGATGGATTCAAAGGTTTGGGGTTGAGGGTTCGGGCTTTGAATTTCTCACCGCGTGCTGCAATGGAAGTAGATTGTGGTTTATTGCTACACAATACAATGAGCCTTGTGTGGGGTATCTTGGTAATTTTGTTCTTCACTGGGCCATGGGTATTGTGAAAACTCGCGAGGGGCACGACAAATCGCCGCATAGTATGGGATCAAAAGAACGGTTCCATGCTGCAGGCCGGCCAGTTTCCACGGGTGGCAGAAGAGCGTTTAGAGCGTCTAAACTGCGAGAAGCATGGGCTGCCCGTCACCGTGCCTATAGGTCTTGGTCGGAGGTTTTGAAGCTCGAAGTTTCGGCGATGGTGTTCTCAGAGCAAGACAGATCCGGCTGAAGCCGCGCTTTTGTTGCGGACGGCATCTTGTGTGTCTCTCTTCTTGTAGTCTTTGCAAGGAAAGAGCTGCACTGTGCCCCGTCGGCCTGCCGCTACCTGCTACTTCCCTTTTACCTGGTTTGGCCGGACGGCACCAGGAACCTCCGATTAGCTTGACGCTTCCCCAGGCCCTTTAGGCCCGACCTCCCCGCAGAAAGCCGGACAGGCCTGAAGCCCAGCGAGGAAAAACACGCTTGACCCAAACCCAAAGGCATCAAAACCCCAAACTCCAAAAGGCCCAAAAGAATCCAAAAGCCCAACGATGCAACGAATCCGAATAACCAACTTCCGTTAATCCCGTACCTGAACCCTGAACATCCCTGAGCCCTAAACTCTTTGACGAAGTTTGACAAGGGACTCGACTGCTGCCATTCCTGCCCACACCTGTTACCCCAAACCCTCATTTAACCTCTGCAAAGCCCTGTAAAACCCGAAGTTCCCGCACCAATGAGCTGGTCTCTTCAAGTCTTCGGATAAGTGCAGCTGGGTTTGCACGGCTCCGACGCCCGAGCAGGCTCTTTTCGGGGGTTGAAAGGGCTTCTAGAACCGCGCGAGCGCGGCTCAGGATTTAGGGGCGAAGGATGCGGGTTTAAGGCTTCAATTTGCGGAGGGCGCGTTGGTGAAGTCAGGAGGTAATCCTTATACTCCTGACCCGGATTCTCCAACCCGGGCCTTGATGAATTCTTGTAGGGTTTAGGGAGTTTAGGGAATAGGGCGTAGGCAACTTCATGGAGTCTTGATGCCATGCTCGGGCATTGTTTCACAGTAGGCCTTGTCGGCCATCGCGAATGATTGGCCAAAGTTCGCCGACTTCACGCTACTTGCCCCGAAGGACTTAAAAGAATTGGCGAGGGCCGAAGTCGGGTAAAGGGTCAGGGCAAATTAAGTAAGAGTGATTGGATGCTGCAGTGTCCGAAGAACGGCAATCTTCAAGCTACGAGCCTACAGTGCCCACACTCGGCTCCCCGATGCTTAGGTTGTTTAGGGTGGCCGGAGGTCTCTCTCTGCAAAGAGACCCTCAATCAGAGTGTCCTTATGCCAGGAAAGAAACCACAACAACCACCATGAGCTGCTAGGTTTGAAGATCGCTGGTTCAGGTCGGCTGAGGTCTGCACGCGTGCTGGAATTTACTCTGCACGTGTCTACACAACGAAACACCACTGTGCTGACACAAAAGTCGCTCGAAACTCGGGCTTGAGAAGCGGCATGCCTGTTTTTGGTCGCACGACTACTTGGACTGCCAAGAGCAGGGCTTTGGCGCCGGCAGAAGCTTTAAGCTCTAAACTCTCATTGGCTATAAGAAGCAGCAAGCCGCAGCAAGCCCCTAACGCACTTGCCATATGTGGAGACGCGATGTTTCCCAGCAAGGACTTGACCACACGATAATATAGCATACTATAGGTTATTCAATTCGTACTGCCAAAATTCACGTCCTTGGCAGAGGCTGGGCTCAAGATCTGCTAGGAAACCCAAGGCTGCAATAGAACCAAGTTCACATCTTGGGGCTAAGAGCTATCCTCTGCACTGCCGGAGGTGTCCGCACATCCACAGGCTCTTCGGAATAACTTGCGTATGTTGGGGGCTTGCGACGCGAAACGCTCAGCCTGCTTGTCGTTGTGAACTCAGGAGACTTGCACCGCTCTACCTAGAACCATATGGATTAACGCACGTGTAAATACACCCCGTTTGGGATTCCTCCACGGAATAAGTCGGCATGACTGCGGCATGACTCCCTGTTCAGCTGACACATGCTGACATCATCCATGATGGTGGAGGCACTCCCCCCCACCCTAATAACCCAACCTTGTCACTGCATCGTTACATCCTCCTTTCTCGTCGGCATGGGATTGGCAACCGATGCCACAGCTCAGCGACTTCTGCACCAGCCTTTGTGTGAGGAAGGCCTGGTTGGAGAGTGTCTTGCGCTGTCCTGCATTTGTACAATGAAGTAGCAGGGTCACAGCAGGCTTCATATGGTTTTGGTTTCCATCCCCGGCAGGCGCTAGCGCAATGATCCGGTCACCAGTTATACTGGCTGAAAACAAGCACTCGGGTACAGCGCATGGCCGCGGTGGAGCGAGCGATCTTCTTTATCGACAGTATGCACCCGTTCAGGTGGCTGCTCCCTCGCCTGAAGCTTAGGAGGGCAATGCCGCTTTGCTGCAGGGTCATCGTGTCATACTGTGCTACTTGTACAAGACTACTCGAGCTACAATTCGGCTGCCATTTTATACTTTGAGAATGCAGCGCGTCTCTCTTGGTGGTTTGCTGTTGCTGGCTGTTGTATGCGAAGACTTGCGTCCCTCTTCGAGTTTGGGGGGCTGGCCGAGCATGAGTTCACCTCGGGGTCTTTTGAGAAGCTTTGTGGGTTCCCAGCTAGATGTTTGCTTTATCTTGATGGCCATGACTTCTGTTCATTTCTAGCAAGGGCTGGGCGTGGCATATAGCTGCTGTTGTAGACTCACAAGTGAGTCATTGCAAGTGAGTCATGAGTGTTCGGCCTTGCCGTTTTGCCCAGTGGAGAAGATGATCTTCGTACCCTACAGTAGCCGATCAATGCTGTGCGCTGTCACGGAACCTTCTGCAGGCTGCTTCGGCAACACTCCCGCGGGCCCGTGGGACCTTGCTTCAGGAGATTGCCGCGCAAGCCGTGCAGACGATCAGGCGGGCAATCTTTTGAGGTGTTCGTGCTTCCAGGGAACCCGGAAATGCAGTTTCTGGCTCTGGCTCCACAGCTGAGCCGTGCGTACGGAACCTGCTCGGGGTGATGCGGCATCGTCAGTCAACAGCAGGATGATTTCATGTTCGGGTCGATGTGCAGTTGGTGCTGCTCTGGACACTTCCCATCACACCCATTCTCCTGGAGCATGAGGTGGTGGCCGACATGCCAAAACAGGTGCAGGCACGTCAAATTTAGTCTGATGCACTTTCTTGCGTTCTGTTGGCCCTGGCTGCAACCTTCTTCCAGTTGACAGGTTGTGACAGACACAAAGAGAGAGCCGGGTAGGATCGGGTAGGTTATTTGGGCGGCCAGAACTGCAGAGGTGACAAAGCCAGTTTGCGGATTCTGCTAGGCCCAGGCACCCCGGTCCGAATTCCTCAGATCTCAAAGCTTGCTTTTTGAAGCTGAACAGGTCACCACATCTCCATTCTTGCATACCGGCAAACGCTTTGGCGTTCCTTACTTAGCGTAGGTCAGGAAGCTTGAAGCGAACGAGCACGCTATTCAATGCGTTAAGCTTGAATGTGCCCCTTTTCCTAGGTCCCGCCACCGCCGCTTGGCATCAGCCGTACTCAGCCACTCCACAAAGGCACCTCGGCAAAGCTCGAAGAGCAGCTGCCCACTCAAGACATTTCAAGACCATTTGTGTCCGATGGCTGGCCAGGTGACTTCTGCACAGGCCTGGGGAAAGTGCACATGTTTTGTCAGCGGCTCTTCCGTTGGATTCACCATGAGGTCTGTCGAACACGGTACCCAGACACTCTCGGCGGCATGCCAGGCAACATGCCAGGGCCTGGCAAGAACATGGAACAGGAATTGGCCAGCATAGTCAAATGAAGTTCGACGGAGTAAGCATGCCCTGAAGGCAATGATGACGGAATGGTGGCAGCAGGTTCAAGCAGGCTTGCTTGTGCTTGATTGTCAGGCTGCATGGCCATAGAAGTGATCATCTGCTTCAGCCCGGAGACCCGAATCTCTCAGCTGCTGTCTTGCTGCTAAGTGGGTTGGGCGGCACGGAGAAGGGGAAGGTTTCATATGTCGAGCTCAGTTCAGTTCAGTTCCTTGCCTTGCTGCTCCCGCTCTTCCGAGATCAAGCGGCTGCCCCTAGGCGCTGAGCAACATGAAGTAGGTCACAACCCAAACCCTCAGAGCATCCCAGAGTCCAGGAGCTCAGCCTCGCTGCTGGGGCGAAGCTGCAGAACCAGCAGCGCCTGCGGCTCATTTTATCTGCGCAGCTGAGCTGAACATCGAAGAAGAGCAGAACAGGGACGGACTTCGGGCATTGCGGCATTGAGATGCTAAGTTTGAAGATCTCATGGTTCAGGTCGGCTGAGGGTCTGCACGCATGCGGGAGCCTGCACTTCTTTACACAACGAAAGACCACCACGCCGACGCAATAATTTCTCGTAGCTCGGGCTTGTAAAGCGGTACTTGGAAGGGCGGTCAGGCCAGGCCTGCGAAGCTCTACAGAGTCGAAATTTTCATTGGCGCAAGCAGCAAGCAGCAAGCCCCTAACACCATAAGAGTGGGCACATGTGGGCACATCTGTCGCCATATGTCGCCATGGCACATGGTCCAGCCCATGGAGCCAAATGAAGCGGCCAACCTTAACGAGCCCTGGTCGCCTGAAGCAGGCAAGAGTCGATCAGCCGCCCAGGTCTTCACGAAGCACCTCGGCTGAATGTGGTAATGCTAAAGAAGAGTGGGATGGCCTGCCCTCACAAGATCTCGCAGACTGGCCAGTGGTCAAATTCGAGGGTGGCGACGAGTACTCTATGGGCTGGAACGAACGGACCGATTGCAAAATCGAGGGCGGCGAAGAGAACTTCGAGGACGGAGAGGAGCCCGCTACGGGATGGAAAGACCACTTCTGGGACGAGGAGGAGTCTGCCATGAAGAATATGGAGACCGCCAGCGTCGCCAGCGTCCATAGCGCTCCAACAATGAACAAGACTAAGGAGGACCTGACGGCCGCAGACATCATCGCACGCGTCAAGTGTGGCCACTTCGAGACTCTAGCAGAGCACATGCAAAGCACGATGGGAATTACAGACGAGGTGTGGCAAAAGCTGGGTCCCAGGCCCGATGGGTCAAATTGTTGCCCTTTACGCGAATTATTGAAAATTTCAAAAAGGGGTTCAGGGAGGTCTGAGGGGGTTCCAGACCCAGGAGGGGCAGGGCACGAGCCAACCAAAAGGATCCGCCACCCCATGCTTTTTGGCTGTGGTCTGTGAGAGGGGCCCACAGCCTGGACACCCCGCGGCATCGGCTCCTCCAAGCGATTCAGGGGAAGGGTTGGGTTGGGTTGGGGGAAGGATACCAGATCCTCGTCTGCTTGTTCTAGATGCTTCTCGCAGGAAGCCGAAGCGAACTATAGGTTGAAGGGAGCCTGGTTTGGCTGCAACCGGTAACGTGATCGCTGTTTTGCCCCGTTGCCGTAGCCCAAACCCAAAAGCCTGAAGCAGCCGACGCCCCCCGCATCCCCCCGCCCCCCCCTACAAACAAAAGCTTGGTGCCAGGGATGCCGTCAACAAGTTTCTTGAGCGTTACTGCAACTCCCAAGAACGCTTGCACCACTTCGAGCACAGACGCGAGGGCCGTGGCTGGGTTGCCACTTTGGTCATGCCCGGATTTCATGGCCGCCGATTCGGTGGCTTCTCAGAAGGCGCCTCCTCTACCATCGCGAAGCGGTCTGCCGAGAAAGCAGCGTGCGCTGCCTTCAAAGCAGATGCTGAGGTGAACGAGGTAAGGGCAGGGCTCCTGCCCTCAATGGACCAAATTCGCAGGTTTTTCATGCTCACTACGGCCCAAAGGATGGAGCTGAGCAAACTCGGGTTTGATCCAGGAACTGTCCAAACGGACATAACGAAATCGATTTACAACGGCTTCCGCAAGTTTGGTGGTCGCACATCCTTCTGGGATGGCAATCCTACCGAGCAAGATGAGCTGAGCCAAGTTACCACAAGAGAGGAGGCCTTGGACGACTTTTACCCCATCCAAGACACACGCTGTCTGTGTGTATGTGGCCAAGATTCCAAGGTGGATTTGCAAGACGAAGGCGCAGTTCAAGCGAAACATGAATTCCCACATGATGAGCAAGCGCACAATCCAGTCCTCGATGCGAAGTCAGATGCAGCACAAGAGCTTCGCAGAGGACTCCGGCATCTCACTGAGGAAGAGCAGCGCAAGCTGCTGAGAGAGCCAGCAGTGCTTCTGAAGGAAATTGGCATGAAAGCCTTCACGGCCTACGATCCGAAAATCTCTGACGCAAGGAAGATAGTTCACACATTTTTCTCGAGATATCGACAGACCGAAGCAGCTGACCATTATTTCGAGACCCATACAATCCGCGAGGGTAGAAGCTGGAGATTTACATCAACGCTGGTAACACCTTCCTTCTACCCGAGCAGATTTTTGGGCAATCAAATGTCCTTGCGTCCCATGGCAGAAGACTCCGCATGCGAGACGTTCATAAGAGATGCACGAGCTCGAGAGGTCGCTAGCAAGCTTCCACCGCCTACTAGGAACATCAAAAGATATGTTGCAAGCATGTTCAACAACGAATGGAAGCAAGACATGATCCGAAGGGGCGTCAACCCGAAACTCAGGCATACTTGTGATTTTTTTAAAATTTGTTGGTATTCTACTTCCCAAGAAACAGCCAAAATTATCACTTTTGCTAGGGTTCCAAGTTCAGCATAGGAAGCTCGTTCAGCAAGAAGTTGTCCAAGAGCTCTCCGAGCGCTTCAAGTCTCAGGGTTGCAGGTTGGCGCTGTGGGATGGCAACGCCTGAGCATGAGCTCCCTTAGACCTTAAACCATCTTAACCCCTAACAACCCTTATTTACACCATCGAATGATTAGTTATTAGTTGGTGAACCCTAAACCCAAAGAAGTAGTTCTCAGAACTGTGCACTGCACCCCTGATGACCTAGTTGGCGGCCTCCAGAGGACGCGCTGCACCTATACTCCCAGCTTATTGAATCATGAGAGGCGAGTTGTCCCCAATCAAGTGAATTTGGCATCACCCACGACGTGCAGAAGGCACGCTGTGGTGTGAAAATTAATGCGACGGCTGAGAGAGGGTAACAGTTTGACCACAGGAACCCCGAACCCCAAAAAACCTTAAAATTGCCAGAATGACATAGTGACTATTGAGACCTTGCCGTCGAATTGTAAACGCTTGCCTGCACCGCCTCGGCAGCCGGGCCGGCCCACGGGCCAAGGCCCAGGACAGGAAGGCAGTCAAATAAAAGGGGGGGTCGCAGCGGTCCGACAAGCGGCCCCAAACAAAATTCCCAGGGGGGGGTCCCAAAGGGGGTCCCAAAAGGGTCCCAGTCCCAAGGGGTCCCAGAAAAAAAAAGCATCGGTTTGCAGCTCCTCCAAGCGATGGGGGGGTCGCACAGGGCGGGGGGGGGGGGGGGGGGGGGGTGCGTCACAAAATTCCGCATGGGGGATCCGGGTCTGCTTGTTCCAAACGCTTACAGTCTATAATGTTGGAATGTGCTTATCGCTTCGTCGTGTCCTTGTCGGCCTTGTGCAACTATTGTCGATGCTCCGGACGCCTCACCTTCGGCCCTCAAGTGGTTTAGGGACCCAGGAACCTTGTAGGATTCTAGGCACCTCATTCTCATGGAAGCGATCCGTTCTCAACTGTCAGGAAACTCTTGAAACCTTATTGTGCCCCTTGGAACCCCTAATCTAAAGTCCCTCACAAAGGCTTCTTGAAAAGCGCTGCTGGTTTCACTGCATGCCGAAAGCCAAGGCCAGGCTAACCCGGGATCACAAGCAGCGGGCGGGCCTGCTCCTTATTCGGCAGCGTCCGCATGTGCATCTGTCATTACCCAGTTGCCCGCTTAACGGTTTGGTTTGGAAATCTGGCAAAACTTTAGGTCTGTACTGACTGAATCTCATAGCTACTGCTTCTCGAAACGGCAGCTATAGTAATAGCCTTGGGCTGCTTCGTTTCCCTGGACATGCCGTCCAAACAACAACTCCACAAAGCCCTAACCGACCCTAAACGCAAAGCTCTGCTTAAGAATTTGTTCCCGAAGTTCTTATATGTTCTTATCCTTAGCAGGCCCAAGCGTTTCATGCCGAATCTGAGTCCAGACCTTGTTGTTGAAGCCTAGCAGGTCTGCGAACCACTCCTGCATAAGAAACGCCAGAGGCAAATGCGACATCCCACCCTGCAGCAAGCTCTCAAGCTTGCCTCGGCATGAGGCAGCTGATTTTGGCTTTCCAGGCTTGATCCGGCTACTCTTGTCATGACGTCAGGGCTTCAAATGCGCAGGACCCAAACCTCAAAGGGGGTCTGAGGCGGCAATTTGCACGTTTGTGTTTCGTGGGACTTGCCAAGGCCTAGCCAGGCCCTGCAAAAAAAAGAAAAAAAACATTAAGCGGCGAGGGCTGCAGCCAATACCTCCTTGAACTCGCCGAGGCATTCTGGGACCCCACACAAGGACCCAGCATCCCCTTTTTCGGGTCGGGGGGGGTACAAATGTGAAGGCAGCGTCGGATCGGAGGGGGGTGCACAGGATGGCAGGGAGAAGGCAACGGTACCTTCTTGGGGTCCTTATTACGAGGGAATCGTAGTGTTTGGGAGTCTATATTCGGGGTCCCTTATTTTCGTAATCTACCATGTGACTCTATGGTGTTTGCAAGAATGTTTGTCCGCGCCACCATGTATCCTGAAGAGCGTTTTTGTGAAGTTGTCAAAGTTGCCAAGGTGATTCTGGCAGCTCACGGGATCTGGGGCCTCGACTCCTTGAGCCGCGCGTCCCTTGGAGTGTGCTAGGTCACACGCCAGCTCCTTCCTCAACCTCAGTCTTCAACTGCTGGGTGGGGGTGGCAGGACTAGAGGGCCGCTCCCTATGTAGGCCGGTCACTTCTTTTTTGAAGGGCTGCAAAGGTATGACGTGCCTTTTTGTGCAGCGGCGATGCGAGTCGAAAAGCATGGAAGAGCTCCCCGTTTCAATTTCTGGGTGACATGTTTTGTTGGTTTGGGTTCTTGATGTGGTTACACCCATGGCTGATTTCGAAGACCTGATACTTGAAAAGTGAGCCCATTTCAAACTAGACGGTCCTGAGTCAAAGGATTTAATTCTCCGGTGTCGTGGATTTTTCTCAGCTTTCGTTTTGATTTTATGTTGCTTACGATCGTTCCAAGACTGAGCATCTGCCGGAGCGACGCATGATTTCTGCAGTCCTTGTACCGATAGTTGCAGTTGTCACGAAAGCTCCCCCTGGAGAGCTTTCGTTTAATACCCCGTCAGGGCTGGGGCGGAGCCATGGGGGGGTGTGGGGGGCGCCACTTCCAAGGTGCACGCGCGCGCGCTTCCAAGGTGCACGCGCCGTCTGTGTCCAAGGTGCACGCGCAACGTCGGGGACCTGCGCAGGGCCGAGTGTTCTTGTACCCTGAAGCCTCAAAACCCTAAGCCCTAAAACCCCCCAAACCTAAAACCCTAAACCCTAAAACCCCCTAAACCCTAAACCTTAAAACCCCCTAAACCCTAAACCCTAAACCCTAAAAAACCCTAAGCCCTAAACCCTGAACCCTAAACCCTAAACCCTAAACCCTAAACCCTGAACCCTGAACCCTGAACCCTAAACCCTAAACCCTAAACCCTAAACCCTAAACCCTAAACCCTAAACCCTAAACCCTAAACCCTAAACCCTAAACCCTAACCCCTAAAATAAACCCTAAACCCTAAACCCCCCCAAACCTAAAACCCCCTAACCCCCCTAACCCTAAACCCTAAACCCCCTAAACCCAAACCTAAAACCCCCTAAACCCTAAATCCTAAAACCCCTAAACCCTAACCCTAAACCCTAAACCCTAAACCCTAAAACCCTAAACCTAAAACCCTAAACCCTAAACCCTAAACCCTAAACCCTAAACCCTAACCCTGAACCCTAAACCTAACCCTGAACCCTAAACCCTAAAACCCCCAAACCCTAAACCCTAAACCCTAAAACCTCCTAAACCCTAAACCCTAAAACCCCCTAAACCCTAAATCCTAAACCCTAAAACCCCCTAAACCATAAACCCCTAAACCCTAAAACCCCCTAAACCCTAAACCCTAAACCCTAAAACCCCCTAAACCCTAAACCGCAAACCCTAAACCCTAAACCCCTAAACCCTGAACCTAAACCCTAAACCCTAACACCCCCTAAACCCCAAACCCCAAACCCCAAACCCTAAACCCTAAACCCCTAAACCCTAAACCCTAAGCCCTAAGCCCTAAACCCGACTCGTGGCACCCAAACGAGCGTGGGGCTCGTTTGGGTGCCAAGATCCTTGAAATTAACCCTAAACCCAGCCACTTCCAAGCTGCACGTGGCACTTCCCGGCACTTCCAAGCTGCACGCGGCACTTCCAAGCTGCACGCGCTCTGAAAGCCCTGGGCAGCCACCCATTTCGAAGTTTCCGGAATCCGAAAGCTTCAAATTATGTGGTAAAAACCAATGAAAACAAGACGTGTGTGCGGCCTGGACGCGGGAAAGACCGTGATTTGCTGTGTGCGCCTTGGACGCGGACATGCGTGCGGCTTGAACGGTGCGGCCGGTGTGGGGGGGGGGGGGGGGGGGGCTGGTCAAAAAATCCTGACATTTTCGGAAACGGTTTTTTGGAGCATTTTTTCGGGTCCTCGGCGTGGACTCGTTTTTATGCCTCTCCGAGGAGAAGCGGGACCGGGCTGATGCTGCTGATGCTCGCGGGGCGGCGTGCTTTGGCGGGTCGCTGCAGGCCTAAATCTGCTCGTCCTAGACGCCCCGCGGAGTCTTGGCAATGACCCCTCCCGAACCTCCCCTCCACGGAGCCCTCCCCAACCTCTCAGCATCTGCACGGGAATCCGCTGTTTATTCCTGTGGATGTATGGCAGCTGTTTTTGTGAGAAGTTTGGAGGCGACGCACAGCACATGCTTTTTGGGGAAGTTGGGGTCCCCACCCTCATAGCTACAATCTGACACACCGCTTTCAACACCCGTGTGTGTCGTCGGTCTGACCTCCGAGCTTTTGGCCGTGTCTGTCTATACACGGTAGGTACACTTGTGTAACTTCCTGTAACTTTGTGTTATTACTTTTGTGCATGGTGGCTCACTTGAAGCACCGCTTCGCTTTAACCTTTGACTTTGCCACATGAATTGGGTCGGCGCTTTGATCTCTCGGCGCCTGTCTCTTCCTGCTACTGTAGCTCCGTGTCCCCAGTCCTGGACCTACTAGAGCTTTCGTCCCAGCCCGTGGCTCTCAAGTCTTCTTTCACATGTATCCCTTGGCATCAGCGCTTACCAGAGACTGCAGACACAGGCGCCTGTTCGAAACATGCTCACGAGCCATGGCATATCACACCTTATCACACGCAATCACGCGCGAGAGCCATGCGTAGTGTTTGGACTTCGTGTTCCGATGAGTCGTCCCTGGCATGAAATGGCTATCCTGCAGCAGCCATTTCTGCTACCCTGCAGCCTGTCGCCGAAAAGCTCTCGTTCCCTTCGCCGCAACCGCCTCGCCAGCACGACAAAGGCCGAGCGGAAGAAATCCATGCAGTTCACTCGCATGTGCAAGCTCTGCCGGGCGAACCGGTGCAAGAGGGGGCAGACTGCACGTTTGCCCATGACAGTTCGGAGTTGCGGCCAGCACCAAGTTCCAAAGCTCTTTCGATCGGGTCTTTGAATTATTCACGGCTGCGGGAAGAGTGCCGCGAATGATGATCCTGTCGACTGCTTGGTCTAAACGTCACGCTGGACCCAATCTCGTGTCTCCTTTCTTAAAACCTATTGCATCTCCTACGTGGTACCACACGGGTACCACGGCAGTATAAAGGACGGATTTTGTACCCGAACTGATCTCCCAAAAATGAAGCCTCCTAAGGTGCTGTATATTGCCAGCGCCAGGGTTCCGAGGTAAAAGGTGCCAAGAAATTGGGCTGAAGTTCATGTACTGCTGAATGCAGGGGACAACATGACACCTAGATCGCCACGACAGATCCCCCCTCCAGAACCAAATTGACCATTTTCAGCACAATTGGCCCAAGAACAGCGAACTAAAATTTCCAGCTAATCTGCGCAAAAAAGCCTACACCTGGGGGAGTTCTGTGGCAGTTAGGACGCCAGGTTCCTTGCCAATGGCATAGTAAGCGGCTGCAACTCACATGCTGCCGATCACGCCGGATCCCAAAGTCCAAACCCTTAACGCTCGGCCCACACATCTGACAAGACACTTTTTATCTGCAACTGCTGTCGCAGACTCTTTGCCTAGAGCCCAGTGCCTGTTTGCTGGAAAGACAGCGCCGCGTCCCAGCAATGGCCTAGACAGGAACCTTGAAGAAAGTCGTGGGTGACAAGGGCTACGGCTTCATAGAGAAGTCCAATGGTTCTGGTGATATCTTCGTGCACTTCTCTCAGTTGACCAGCGGCGGCGCTCATAGCTTGGTTGTCGGGACGGAGATGACCTTCGACATCGTGGAAGACCCGCGAACTGGCAAGCCCAGGGTTGAAGGACCTTGTTGTGCCCAGCAAAGGCATACGTGGGAATCTGGAAGAAAGTCATGCGAGGCACGGAACACGGCGTCATCCAGAACTCTGATGTTTCAGGTGAGGTTTTCCTGGACATCACACAGCCGACCAACAGCGACGCTGATGATTTGATTGTCGGGGATGACCGTCGATATCGCAGATGATCCGCAAACTGGCAAGCCCAGAGCCAGCAACGCGAGGCTGCACTCAGGCACAGGAAACAGAATCTGTGGAGTGTCATGACTCGCTACACTCGAGGCTCCTTTTGGACACTGATTGGGCTTGAGTGTTGAGTGGGTTTAGGGTTGACGTCTTCGGCTTTAGGGTTTTTGGGGGGACGTCTGCGAAGTGGGAGCTGGTACCAAACTCGTGGTTCAGCAGGGCCCCGAGGTGTAACTTCGTAGTTCGGATTTTTCACTCTGAAACTTGCCAAAGTACGACTGTATCCACAAACTGCAAACCACGCGAGTCACTCTTGTCTGCTGCACAAGGCGAGGTACGAGGCAGACGTCAAGTTGTGCCATCGCATGGAGTGAATAAGAGCGCATCGTTCGCGCGCGTATGACGCTGGCACAGCTGCAGAACATTGTAACCGCTAGTAGCGGTTCAGGACCCCGGGGAGGGTGGGTGGGCCATGGTGGGCCAAAGCGAGGATTCGAACCGACGCAAAGCCGCAGTGTAGCGTTCGCATGCAGAAAGGATCGGACAGGTTTTGGGTCGAATCTTGGCGCTGAGGCGCTGAGGGGCCTAGGTGGTTTTGGGAGGTTGAGGGATGTTTAGAGATGTGCAGAGATGGTGGACTTCGGGCCTGTTTGGAAAGGCGTTGCGCGCCAGGGAAGATCGAAGGGGTAACCCTTAACACTCCAAGCCCCCTGGCCAGCAGAACGCCCCAGCCAGGTCATTCTCCTTATCTTGTAAGAATAAACGCACGGTTGCTCATAATGACGATAAGATAAGACTTATATTTTTATGAGAATACTTGCATGAATAGATATTGGGTCATATAACCTTGATAAGCTATGCAACGGTCGCAGACTCTTTGGCTTTCAGGCCCGACTGCAAGAGCATCCTGGCTCTAACCCCCGAAAGCCATGGTGTGCACGGGAACGCTGAAAAGGATCGTCCCGGGCAAGAACTACGGGTTCATCAGGATGGCCAATGGCTCGGGGGACGTGTTCCTCCACATGTCCCGCCTGACCAACGCCAGCTGCAAGGACATGACTGTTGGCGCCGAGCTGACCTTCGACATCGAGAAAGATGTGCGAAGTGGCAAGACAATGGCAGTCAATGTGCGCCTCTTTGACCGGCCGGGGCCTCGAAGCGAGCTGCGAAAAATTGCTGAACAAATTGTTGTATAAACGGTCCCATCGGGATGGTCCGCGTAGGTTTTTTTCCTTGACCGCGTAGGTTTGCCAAAGCTCTGCGTGGGTTTTTCCTCGGTAGGTTTGCGCAGGTTTGCTTTTGCACATGATGGTTTTTTGAAAGGCCTTTGGCTATGCAAGTGCCGCAGGAACGTTCGCATAGGTTAGCGTACGTGCTGTTGGTGGAATGCGCTGCGTGCAAGCTAAAGCCCTGCGTGCAAAGATGCGCATAGGTTTTCGTAAGTTTGTGCGTAGGAGAGTACAGTGACAGCATTGTTCAACACGTAAGGCCCGCACTCCCCCAATGCCCAAATTCAGCCTGCCCCGACGCAGCCGAGCTCTCCCAGGGAAGCGTGGCTGCACGACAAGTTTCTAGCATAGGCACGAAGCTGCTGCCCAAGCTCCCCCTCTCCGGTCCCTGCAATCCTACAGTCCTAAACCCGATTTGCTAGAAATCTACCTTGGCTCCCATTGCGACACATCCGTTCCAACTTTCTCATGCAACGACAGCCGTGACGGCAAATGCTGCATTGTGACAGAAGGTGTGCCTCCAGTCCTGTCGGGGTGGCACGTACCTTCGGCCACGCCCCCACTCAAGTTGTTTTCCTGCCGAAAGCATTCGGCAAGGGAGATCGTCCGCCTGGTAGCTGCCGTGTGGCGGATGTCATCACTTTGAGTCCCTTGTCCAGAGCGGGGCAAACAATATAGTGCGGCATTGAGGTGGTGGTAGATGCCTGGACTGACTTGCAGTCTCTTTGCCTAACGTATCGTATCCAGGCAAGAGAGTAACCTGCCCAATGCTCAGTTCGATGGAGCTTGGTCCAGTTCGTGTCTGTCAGACCCGAACGCGGGGTCTCCGTGTTCATGGTTATCTGTGCGTCCGCTTCAACGTGGTCGTCCAGTTGACAGTTTAAAGCAGCAACATGAGGATTGGAGGAAGGCCGTGAAACAGCACTCGGGTTGAAGCTCGCCCAATCGATTTGGCAACTTCGCACAGGGCCGGGGTGAGTGGGGGGGGGGGGGTTGGGCAAGAGAGTTGTGGAAGGGTTGGGAAGGGGGGGGGGGAGAAGGAGACCTGGCTTGGTCTGCTTCCCGGCCGGGGTGAGGCGAATTAAAGTAGAAAATCAAACCTCTGAATGCCCTGGAAAGCCCGAAGCCCGATGCCAAGGGCCGCGTGGCTCAAGGAGGCGAAGGCCTTGGACCACCAGCAGCGCCAGCAGCTGGTTAGGGCCTCAAAAAAATTTCGGGCAGGAGTCTGCGGTGCCGAATGACGAATGATGTCTCCTTGGACTTGTTTGTGATGCCCCTTTCTCTGAACACTGAGCCTGAGTCCCGAAACCACGTCGAATCTGCATAAGGTCCGGCAACTTCAGGTCCGGCTTGTGTGGGCCTGGATGTGAGAATTGGGACTTCATGGCTGAATGCATCTTGCCGTAGGGAGGGGGTTGCGTAATGCCAGTAGGTCAGGAAGACGAAAACATCATCGACTCAAGTCACGGAAGTCAAGGTCTTCAGCCCAGCCTCATGATATCATATCTCATGATGGCCAGGGGCAGCAAGCTTCGCGGTCCGAGGCAGGAAGATACCAAAGTTGGGGGGTTTGGGATTTTGGGCGTGAGGATGTGTAGGGTTTGGGGTTTAGGCTTGCGGGTTTAGGGAGGAGTTCTCACTTAGGCTCGGGCTTGCCTGAAAACTCGGGTCTGCGTGTTGAGGTTTCATAGTAGGGCCGTGCTTGGGAGTTTGGCAGTTTGGCAGGTTCAGGACTCAGCATCTTCAGAGGCGTTGCTTAGGCACATGTAAACCCCAACGCCTAAAGAGGATCTCGCAAACGCTCAATGAAAACCCGGACAATCAAAACAACCCCTGCCCTGTACCCTGTGAGATTAGGTGTTTAGAGGGCTTGTGCTTTCGGATTTAGGGCTCAGGAATTTGTGATCACATCGGTCTCAGTCACTCGTTGACGGAGTCAGGGTGGGAAGCCTGAAGCTTCAAAGCACTTTCTCGGCAGCAGCTTTGAGATTCGCAGAGCAGCCATGATGGCAGCCTTCAGGTTTGGTTGGTTTAGGCTTTTGCTTGCGCAGCAAGGGGTTATCAGTCCTTCAGTAGGGAGTAGGGGTGCATGCGCTTCGCCTGCGCAGGTGCTCCTTGAGGCCGGCCGAGGGATCGAGATTTGGGGGCGTAGGGTGTTTCGGGGGGGCCATTACCCCTTGGTGCATGCACTTCCCCAAGGCACAAGCGCCTTGAGACCCCAAAGCCGCACTTCGCCTCCAAAAGCCTGAAACAGATTTGGTCCAAAGACGACTTTCTCGGTGAGTGCTGGCTGCCAACGCTGGGATCACTGACCCTGGGGTGCTATGGACACGACTTTGTTCAACTTTGTGCGGGCGTTCAGGGTCTATAGAGTTGAGGAAGTTGAATTAGTTGAGGGAGTTGAACTATAGACCTTGCGGATGTCTATAGATGTTGCTCTTCCGAGTTCGATTCCGAGTTGCAAGAGTGACCGCAGGAGCCTGGACCTGCAAAGGAAAGTTCGATTGCACCGACCAACTTCGTTAAACGGGACATCCGTGCCCGTTTGAGCCACTTCTGTTCGACACGTTGCCCTTCCGGCTGGGCCGTGAGGGCACTGCTCGCATCCGAGTCACAGGATTCGGCCAGTAAGGCCAGTATTCCGGTCACACGCGACAAGATTGCTCAAATATGTTCAGCAGAATGATGCACAACGTGTTGGTGCGGCATGTCTTTCCAAGATGGAATCCATTTCCGTGCCTAGGATAGGCATGCAAGCATTGAAACGCGTGGATTCCAATACGGCTTTGAATCTTGAGCTTGTAGTCAGGAGGGATCGGGAAGGACAACAGTCCGCATCAACGCTATGCTGTCACAGGTGTTTCTTGATGCCTCCTGCTTTGTGTTTCATTGTGCCGCGACTCTCGAATGATTGTCGATGTCTGCGTCTGATGCTGATGATGCTCGAGAGGTTTTGTGACCGGCCCTGACAACGCATTTTTCAGAGGACCATATATGCCGTGGGACTGCAGGCTTCCATGCGTGTCTTAGACGAGGGCAAGCTGCCCGCCAAAAACCTGCAGGGATCGGAGCCATGAGTTCGTAACCGACCCCTGATTTGTCTATGCTCTTGAAGTCTTGCCTACAGAACTTCATGAAACTTGTCAAGCCCCCAACAAAGGACCGGGGACACGAAGCGCTTCGTCCTCCCCGTGCAAAATGCCAAGATTGGCACATCCCGCTTCCCTGGCTTGTCTTCGGAATTAAATTTCAGGGTAAGTTCCAACTTTTTAAAAGAATCATGAACACATCTAAACTCGTCAGATCGCTTGTGCAAAGGAGCGTCGGCTAAGCACTCGGCAATAACCAGCTGCACTTCAACACTTTCTGAAGCTGAAGCGCTGAGGAAATGACAACAGGAAGTTCTCCAAGATGAAGTGCGAAGGTGCCCTGTTTGCCACCTGCAACTCGACGTTCGTTGTAGTCTACTGACTGTTGTGGGTAGTTAGGTCGCTCCTTGTCAAAGCCACATGAGTGTGGACCTCTAGGTTTAGGCATTCTGTTGATTCGACCTGACACCGATGTAATGTGCTCTCGTGCGCATTTTGTTGCATCAAAGCACCAGGTGGCCGTATACTCTTATCGTTTGGACGGACAGAAGTATGCTCTGGTGTACCTTCCGGTCCTTGAGGTGCACTGTCCGACCCCCAACCCTCACGTCGCTAGACCCTCACCCAACAAGTAAGGTCCCAAATCCCTAAACCCCAAACCCTAGCCTGGCGGGTGGAAAAAAAGACCCTATACTAAATCCTAAAACCCTAATGTTTCATGACAGGCAAAGTGGTGGTCGAAGCCTGCCTGGCCTTTGAGGAGGTACATCCGCTTCCAGTGGCTGACCTGCAGCTCGCGATCTTCGGTGGGGTTTAATATTGGATGTATTGGCTTCTGGGTTTAGGATATGCCCAGGGTTTAAATGCGCGCTGCTTATGTAAAGGGGTGGTGGCTGAGGAGGACTCCGTAATTCATCAGGACCCTCAGCTAACACAAGCTGACCCGAGGAGGCATTCCTTGTTTCCTCAGGCCCGTCATTAATCAACAAAGAACCCTATATGTATATATATATATATATGCATTAGCGCGGCCAACGGCTCAGGCGCGCCATGGGGTAGGGCATAAAGTAGGGTTGCAGGCCAGGCCCTGCCGAGAGGGGACCCACGAGGCCGCAAACACAAGCCGAAGGTGACACCTTGACCGGCGACAACTTGACGTCGGATATAGGGCTGTGACAGTGCTGGGAACCCTAGGCCCCAGACAGGATCTTTAAACTGTAAGCTGTGTGCCCGTACGCCGCGTACGCCCCTAGACGCCCCTCGACACAAGCTATCTCGAAATCCTAAGTCGGACTTTGCTTTTTGTCATGGACCTCCACAGACAGCCAAGGCGGGGGCAAAGAACATGGAACAGCGCGTGCGGCGGCTGGAGAAGTTACGCACAGGCGCCGCAACGCTCAACCTACTTCCCACAAGGCCCTGTTTTCCACACAACCACACACCCTAAGTCTCTGAGTCGCAAAACCCTTGGGCCCTAAGCCCGAAGCCCAGCACGAAACTCGGGGTTGACTATGTGATGAGTAGCTTCGCCTACATTGCCTTGTGCAAGTGCACGCGTCGAAGCCACCTCGACTTGCCCAGAAGGGCAACCGCAACAGAGCCCTAAACCCAGAACTCGCTGGTGCAGGCAAGCTCATGCTCAAGATCCTCAAAGCTGAGGGACTCCGTGGGGTGGGGGTCCGAGACCAAAGGTCGGCATGAACGCTGAATGGCTTGTTTTTTTGAGGGGGTTGTGCTCCAGCTGCTGTTTTGTGCATGCTCTGAGACGGACTGCGACCCATACGTGCGCATGTATGTCAAGAAGCAGAAGGATTCCATCCTTGCCTGTTTCCAGGCCCTGCGGACTCTCTCTCTCCCTCTCCCTCAACCTCTCTCTCTCTCTATCTCTCTCCCCCTGTCTCTGTCTCTCTCTCTCTCTTTCTCTCTCTTTCGCTCTGTCTCTGTCTCTGTCTCTCTCTCTCTCTTTCTCTCTCTTTCTCTCTCTCTCTCTCTCTGTCTGTCTTTCTTTTGCAGAAGAATGAAATACACCCAGAGCTGGAGCAAGTGGAAGCCCTTGCGAGGCGGACTTTGATGAGGAGGGCTGGCACATGACTGCTCTTGAGCAGCAGGAGTGCTTCTGGACAACCACGGCGAAGAAGTCATCTTGCAATCCTGTGTGGAACGAGGAGAAGGAGTTCACGCTCAGGACCTCTGGTGTTGTTGGAGGTTCTCATGTCTTAGGGTTTGGGATTTACACTGTGGGGTTTAGAAGTTAAGGGGTTCAGCTATACATCAGCTAGCCGCCAGTCCGTGGCAAGCAGCTCATTGGCAAGCATCTCAGTCCTTACTACAGACTGGCACTTGGCGCCATTCTGGAAGTAGGATCGAGGCCCTCGCGAGAACACGCTGAGAGCCGGGAACATATTGCTTGGAGGTTCATGTTTGGTAGCACTATGGTTATGGTTAGAAGCAGCTTCCAAGCGTAAGGACGTTTTCAACACAGCCAACCCTTGAGTACCTACCCTGAGGTTCAGGCGCTGCGTTTCCTTGTAACGTAGATTCCTCCATGCTGATCATGCCCATGCCAAGAAGTGGGGTTTAGGATTGGCAATCAGACAGCCCTGTCCAGCCAGGCGGGTGGACAACGAAAGCCCTCAAGAATCCATGCAAAGCTCCAAACCGGTCCAAACCCACCCTAAACCTCCCCAGGAACGGCACCTTTGCCTTTCGCCTGCATTGTAGGCAAGGTCCAAGGGAAAGGTTGGTAAGGTCGGCCGTTAGAGTCTTTTTTCCCCGAACAGTTTGCTGCAGGGGTTCCTGTTTCTTTCCAAGAATTCCGACCCAGCCGGATGCTCCGGCCGAGCTCCCTTCATGTGGGTGGCCTCGGCCGTTTGTGGTGGCCAAGAACGGGACACATTTGGTAAGGTAGTAGTCAATCGGGGTAGCCAAAACCGGGCGACACATTCGGTAAAGTAGTCATTCCGGTGGCCAAAGCCAGGCGACACATGTGGTGAAGAAGTCATTCCGGGAGCACATTGCGCAAACTAGTCATTCGGGATGTCCACAAGAATGCCTACTTTACTAAATGTGTCGCCCGGTTGAGTGACTAGTTTGCCCAATGAGTCGCCCTGTTTTGGCCACGGCTGACTACTTCACCAAATGTGTCGCCCGGTTGAGTGACTAGTTTGCCCAATGAGTCGCCCTGTTTTGGCCTACTTCACCAAATGTGTCGCCCGGTTGAGTGACTAGTTTGCCAGTGAGGCCCTGTTTTGGCCACGGCTGACTACTTACCAAATGTGTCG